ACAGAGATCCGCCTGCCTCTGCCTCCCGAGTGCTGGGATTAATGGCATGCGCCACCACCGCCTGGCTTAAGCTTTCGTTTTTTTATTATTTTGTTTTGTTTTGCAGTCCAAGCTGGTCTCAAACATTATGCAGCTTAAGATAACATTGAACTAACGATCCTCCTGCCTCCACCTTCTTCCCAAGTGTGCTGCAACATTGTTACGGTACGTAAGTGGTACGTGGGTGGGGTGGGGATGAATCAGAGCTTCATCCTCGCCCAGTAAGGCAGACTACATGTGCAGGACCAGAGAGAGCTTTTTAAAAAGTACTCTGGAGTATTGTAAGGTTTGTTTTTAAACCAGAGTCTCACTGTGTGGTCCTGGGTGGCCTGGAACTCACTGTGTAGACTAGGCTGTTCTTGAATTTACAGAGATCTACCTGCCTGTGCTTCTGCTTGGATTAAAGGTATGTGTCACACCACAATCAGCCTTTTGAGACAGGAAAAAAAATCATTAATTTGGAGGTCCCTGGTACTTTATGACTAAGTAAAATAAATCAATGAGATTAGTCCTGGGTCTTGAGAGTACTAGAAAATTTCAGAATGTAATCCCAGTCCTGGGGAACTGAGGTGGGAAAATTCGAGCCTGGACTGCATAGTAAGTTCTAGGCAAATCTGCCTTCCACAGAGTAAGACCCTGTCTCAAAAAATAAAATAATAAAAATTCGCACAACATATAGGCAGTAAACTATGAAAATGGGAATTGTTCCGAGTAATTTTTGTTAATTGGTTTTAACGTGGCTTAACTTACTTGATACCATGAAGATCGAATGGGAACAAGAACTTGGTTACCTCCCTTTCCATTCTAGGGTGCTCTTGATCCCCCAGTCTTCCGGTCCCCCTATTACCTCTGTCCCCTCTTTCCCTTTCCTGTTCATTTCATTGTCTGCCATAGTGACCTCTTATCTCTCGAGCTTGTGTCCTTGTAGGGAAATTAACATTGTTCCTGGGCACTGCCTGTGTCCTGGAACTAACTCTTCAGCTTATTTTCTTTGCCAGCCCAGTTTTGACTATCCCTTGGCAACACCAAAGTCTGAACCTCCTGAGAAACTGTTCCAAACCAGCCTCTGATGAAAGTGTTATTTGTCCTTTTACTTTTGGCTAATTGAATCTTTAACATTTGAAATGACTTCTTTGTCCAGTCCATCTACAATAAACCCTGTAAAACCTGCTATATCTAATTTATTTTATGTATACGGGTATTTTGCCTGCATGTATGTCTGCATACCATGTGCAAGCCTGGTACCCTTGGAGGACAGAAGAGGGCATCAGATCTCCCGAGACTGGAGTTCCAGACCGTTGTAAGCTGCCATGTGGGTGTTGGGAATCAAGTCCAGGTCCTCTGGAAGAGCGACTAGTGAGAGCTCTTAACCACTGAGCCATCCTGTCAGGCCCTCCACCTCTAAACATTTGCATATAGTTACATTTGGCCCTTATAAATTCATGCTTTCACATTATCCTTTAGATATTAGAATTAAAAATCCACATGCTGTCTAAGAAATTTTATTTATTTTTGTTTGTTTGTTTGAGTCAGGGTCTCACATAACCCAGAGTGGCCTTAAACTTGCTACATGGCCAAAGTGGCCTGATCCTCCTGAAGCTTCACCTCCCAGTGAGTACTGGGTTGTAGGCAGGAAATTTAGTTAAAGGATTTTTAGATATCTTACATACTTGGAATGTCTATTGCCTACCTTTGACCTGGTATTGTTTCTCCCCTGTAAACACATATACTTCTGGACTTTAAAAATTGACATTTTGCAAGCCATGGTGACACAAATTTATAATCCCAGAATTTGGGAATCAAGTAAGAGGATCACTGTGAATTTGAGATCTGCTTAGAATACGTAGTGAGTTCTAGGCCAGCCTAGGCTACCAAGTGAGACACTGCTCTACTTTAACATGATGGCCATTTGGGACATTACATTGTGTCCTGTGAGAGATGTTTGCCACCATTCCTAGTCTCTGCTTGTCACATGCCAGGAACCTGCCCCCATGTGATAACCATAACACCCCCCTGCCCCCAGACAGGGTTTCTCTGTGTAGCCTTGGCCTGGAACTCACTCTGTAGACCAGGCTGGCCTCGAACTCACAGAGATCCATCTACCCTCTGCCCCACCACCACTGCTGTCCCATAATGCCTCTTTTAAGCATGTGCTGTGCCGTATATTAAAAGGCTTCATAGGAACACCCTGTTTTCAGAGTCAAAAGCCGCTTGAAGGACAGGGGCTGTAAGTGTTGTGCCCTGAGTCCAGACCCCCAAAGACCACTAAGAGACCAGATAGGATGCAAAAGCAGAGTCTTTTTTTTTTAATCCCAGCATGCTGGGGCTGACCACGCTCCACAAAGGCAGGGTGGCAAAGGCCTCGATAAGGAGGTGGGGCCTCTCTTAAGCCTTAGTGAAGGGAGTGTCTAAGGAAGTTAGGCCATTTTAAATATTATTGGCTTAAGCAAGTGGATTAGTATGTTCTAGTCCTGTCAGGGCCACAGTTTTACATTTTGAGGCAGGCCTGGACAAGTCCCAGGCCCTGTCTTTATTCTGCTGTGGAGACTGGCTCAGGCTTGGCCTGGCCTAGTCCTGCATGGATCAGGTCTCCTCCTTGCCGTTGGGGTGTTGGAGACTGACTGTCCTTTATTTGTGGCTTTTCTTCATAGGCTGCTTGTTCAGTCTCTGGAAACTGAAATAGAGGCCTCATCTCTGAGAGGAGCCTGGGCCGCCTGTTATGGCATTCACTGGGTCCCTTCAGCAAGTCATTGGTAGAATGCTTACCTAGAATGTGGAGACCATGGCCTCACTTCCTAGCACTAGTGGAGAAAGCAGGCTGTGCACCTGAGCACTTTAATATGCACTTATATAGATGTTTATTAGAGATGTGTGCCCAGTATGCCATCCATTTACAGAATAAGAAAATATAAATGACATAAATTAACTTTTTGAGATGGGTCTCATGTACTCCAGGCTCTCCTAGAGCTCTCTATGTAGCTAAGGATGATTTTAGGCTCTTGATCCTCTCACTTCCATCTCGGAAATGCTGGAATCCCATGTGAGCCACCAGGTCCAGCTAACAGCTTTGAAACTAATGCATGAGCAGTAATCCAGATGACTCTTAACTGCTTAAAGCATTTGTGAGACTTAAAGTCTTCAACTTGCCATTAAAATACTGACTTTTTTAGCTGGGTGTTGATGGCGCACACCTTTAATCCCAGCACTTGGGAGGCAGAGGCAGGCAGATCTCTGTGAGTTTGAGGTCAGCCTGGTCTACAGAGCAAGTTCCAGGACAGCCTCCAAAACAATACAGAGAAACCCTGTCTCGAACCCCACCCAAAATACTGACGTTTTTTGTAATGATGATCATATTTTTTTATTTTTTTATTTTTGGCAACAGCATCTCATGTAGCCCAGTCTGGCCTGAAAGTATGTAGCTAAGGATAACCTTGAAATTCTGATCCTGCTTCTGCCTTTCAAGTTTTAGAATTACAGGCATGTGTTATCACCACCTTCCCCAAAACTCATTATTGTTGTTGTTTTTCTGTGGTGGAGAAATAGCAAACATTCTGCCATCAAGCTACATCCCTACTCTCAACCAATTATTAATAGTGGCTAATCTTACTAAAACATGCTTAAACACACATATAATCAGTTGATTTTTTTTCTTTTAGAGAGGGTTTCACTGTGTAGCCCTGGCTGACCTGGAACTCACTGTAGACTAACTAGGCTGTCACAAACTCAAGCATTTTCAATGCCTCTGCTTCCCAAGTGCTGGGATTAAAGATGTGCACCTCTGCACCTAGCTGATTATCTCTCAAAAATTTTTTTAAAGATTTATTACATATACAGTGTTCTGTCTACATGCCAGAAGAGGGCACCTGATTGAATTGTAGATGGTTGTGAGCCACCATGTGGTTGCTGGGAATTGAACTCAGGACCTCTGGAAGAGCAGCCAGTGCTCTTAGCCGCTGAGCCATCTCTCCAGCCCATTTCTCAAATCTTAAAAATGCATTTTTCAGATTAAAAACACAAAAAATGACATAGAGACTTACTATGAAAGCTTGGCCTTAGCTTGGGTCTGTTTCTCACTAGCTCTTATAACTTAAATTAACCCATATTTGTAAATCTACATTCTTCCACATGGTTGTTACCTCATCTCCATTATGTCCATCCTGGTTATTCTGCATCTGGCTGGCAACTCTGCTCTTCTTCCTCCCAATCGTCCTCTCTGCCCCAAAAATTCTGCCTAGCCATTGGTTGTTCAGCTCTTTATTAAACCAATTTGAGTGACACATCTTCACAGTGTACAAAAAGATTGTTCCACAAGTCTGTTGTGTTTGTAGTTTAGGGTTTTGTTTTGGGGGTGTGTGTTAAGTTTCACTTTTTGTTTCTGTGTAGCCCTGGCTCTCATGGAACTTGATCAACTGATCTTGAGCTCAGAGATCTGTTTGCCTCTGCCTCCCAAGTACTAAGATTAAAGGCATTTGCCAACATTCCCAGCTACAGTTTGTTTGTAAAAATAAATAAGGTCTTACTATGTAATTCTAGGCTGGTGCTCCTGAGTTCTGAGATTATAGGTGTGAAGTGCCACAGCCTGCACTCTGCCTTTACTGGTGGTTATCATTGTATTTAGTTCCAAATGTCAAGATTGTATTGACCTTGAAACTGTCTTGGATAGTGCTTTGATATTATTATAAAAATATCCTTGTGAAGTTCACAGTAAGGTGTTTAGAGTACTCTTGTGTTTATTATGTAATGTCTTATTAGACTTTGACCACATGCATAGCTTGAAGCTGAACAATTTAGTATATAATTTATATGATCATAGTAATATGACCTTTTAATATTTAAAGTAGCGTTTCTAAAGATGTTTGCAAGTTATAAACAGAACCTTCAGGATACTTTCCATTTAATAAGCAGTTTGCTTCACCTGGCATCTCTGTTGTTTCTTTGTTTTGGTTTTGTTTATATCACAGAGAAGCTTCACTGGCCTGAGCATGAACTTGCTAAGAAGTCTGTTCTAAATGCAGAAGAGCCATTGATCATTGACAGCAAAAGAAGCTTTTCGAGTTTGTCCTCTGGAGTTCTCAAGGACACTTTTACAACTGGAACCAGTAGTTACAATGTTCTACTACAGACCAAGGAGGAGAGAAAGCACCATTCACAAAAGCAGTTTTCCTCTGCCTTCTCCAAAAGACGTAGAAAGCCCAGCAAATCTCCTAGTTCCTCTCATAGCAAAGATCCTCACAGGATGACAGCCCTGGTGCCCATGACAAGCACTGGTACTTGGTACTGCCTGGACAGGCAGTCTGCTGTTTTTGTCACTAGTTCAGTACTAAGTCCTGTAAAGTTTACCCATGATATCTCTGTTACAGGGAGCAGCCTAGCACTGCCACCTAAACCGAAAAGCAAAGTCAAACGCCGCAGTGTCACCCCTCTTCCAAAGCCAAAGCAGCAGCAGCCTCAGCTGTGTAGAAGCTTTGAGAAAGGAGATGACCTTTCTGGGAAGAAGCTGTGTATACTGACTGCTATAAAGCCGATTAACCTGGAGAAGGAAAAGCTGAGGTTCTTCAAGTCGGACTATACTTACAACCCTCAGTTTGAGTATGCCAATACCGCTCTGCCAGGTGTGTTAGCCAAACACAGCAACGCCTCTGATCGATTTCTTAAGCAGGTAAAATGCCACTTCTATAGTAGTTTATCATTGTTATGTTGCTAAAGCAATTACCAACCATTTTTAAGCAAAAGAGACACCTCATTACCCACTGTGATCAGCTCCCACCAAAGATGGGTATCTGTGTGATAAGAAATTTGCAGGTGATTGTTTTTGTTCACCTATATGAGCACTATGTTGCACTAATCAAAATCTACAAAGACTCTCCACTGTGTTCTCTGACTAGAAGATACTTGGGAACCACTTCTGATTCTATGCTTTGATTTGGGAGTTATGAACTTGTGACTCATTAGCTAGTCCACAGATGGTGGTTAGGTAGACTGCAGGGTTCTGCCACCACCATCTCTTCACGATCGTACTGGAGACAGGATCTAGTAACCCAGGTTAGCCTCAGATTTGCAGCATAGCTGAAGATAACCTTGAACTACAGATCTTCCTGCTTTTGCCTCCCTCGTGCTGGGATTGAGCTGGCGAGGTGGCTCAGCAGATGAAGGTGTCTGCCACCAAGTCTAACAACCTAGGTCAGTCAGTCCCCAAGACCAACACGGTTAGGAAGGAGAGAACTGACTCCTGCAAACTGTCCTCTAACTTCACGTGCATGTGTGTGCCACCCCACATACAATATTATTAAAAATAGATAAAAGTCTTCAGTCCTGGAATTATAGGAGTGTGCTATCATACATAGTTCATAAAATGATTTTAAATATGCTATGTATTTTCATTGGTAGAAGAACTCTTTTTCTCTTGCTTTGTGTTTTTCAGTAGCTCTCACCCTTGTTTGTTGTTCAGACAGGATTTCAGATGGCCCAGCCTGGTCTAGAGTTCCCTGTGTGTGGGATCTTGACCTGATCCATCTGCTTACTTTATGCAGTACTGAAGATCAAACCCTGGGCCTCACGTATCCTACACAGGCCCTCTACCCACTGAGCTATGTCCCAGGCCTACTCCGCTGTTCTTTTTAGCTGGCAGTCACTCTTATCTAACCCCCTTTTTGTAGAGAATGTTATGAGTAGACGTCCATAAATTTAAATTTTATAATTGCAAAATTACTATTTTTTTTCAAGACAAGGTTTCTCCCTGGCTTTGGAGACTGTCCTAGAAGACCAGGCTGGCCTTGAACTCACAGAGATCCACCTGCCTCTGCCTCCCAAGTGCTGGGATTAAAGGCATGCACCACCAATGCCCGGCAAAAAAAAAAAAAAAACCCAAAACCAAAAAAACTATTTATTTACCTCCCCTCAGTGCTGAAAATGATGACTGAGATTAATTTACCAATATTCTTTAATCTGAAGACCAGTATACAGCATCCCTGTGCATTGGGAAGGAAAGTACGATATCACATCAAAATGAATTCGCTGTTATTCTTTGGAAAGCAGTTGATACTGGTTGGCCTGTAGCTTTACAGTCTTTACTTAAACCCATTCCCATCTGCAGAAAAATTAAACATACGTGAATGGCCATAAATTTCTAAATACCACGAGTAATCCTAGCTGGCTTGTACCTTAAATGCCACAGGAGGAAAATGTTCTCAATGTATCCCATATTTACTCTTTAAGGCACTTTAATCAAATGAAAGAAAAATCAGAGAATGTGGAAAAATAGACTTGAAATCCTATTCAGAATCCGAGTGAGTTATAGTACATTTCCCCCTGCCCAGCCCTGCTTCAGCTTAGGAAGAGGTCTGCAGTCTCATGGCTGGAGTCTCAGAGCATCGTACTCTGGGTACTTCGGAGGCAGGCTCTCTGTTGTTGGAGGATGGCTGTGGTCCTGAACTAAATAATAAACCTGCCATAGTGAGCCAAGGCAGCACGCAGATCCTGACTGCTCCCTTTGGTCTCCCCGACGGTGGTCAAGGAGTTCTGGGACTCAGCCACCAGGGCAGCCAGTGTGGGCAGCAGGCTGGAGTGTGAGCCAGGACAGGGCTGGTGAACCCTGCCTAGAGAGACGGGAAACTGGGATAGCTTCAGCTTTCTTGCTCTTGGATATATTTAAATTTTACAGAAACCTAGCAGTGAGTGTGGTAGTTCAGGCCTTTAATCCCAGAGACAGAGACAGGTGGAACTGTGTGAGTTCAAAGCCAGCCTGGTCTACATAGTGAGTTCCAGGACATCCCGGGCTATGTAGAGAAACCAAGAAACCCTGTCTAAAAAAGAGAGAACGAGAAGAGAAAAAGCAAGTCTTTAAATTACACCTCTCTCTAGATGATACATTTTTCTATTTAAAAAAATCATAAATTTTCACAGATACCTTAACATAATAAGGCTTTCTAATAAGTTATTTAGAGACTACTATGTCCCATAGGAGAAGTGGGGTCATTTCTTAACCTAATAACAAAAAGGAGTCTCTTCCATATCAGACTTGGAAGTTTGACAGTGATGAGTCACTGAAGGCTTTGCACATTGGTCTTTGGAAGCAATATTAGCAAGTGCTCTGACAGTCTTACTAGGAAGCTGCTTGAATATACGCTTGTCCATTGGAGATGTGAGGGAGTAGTTGGCACAATCATGTCATCAGAGTCTCATGTCCACTCACCTTTGTATACACCAGTCTACACCCAGCCCTAACCACACAGAACATAGGAGATCCAAGGGCCAGAGGAACAGGCTGCTGGCATTCCTCTCCAATTTCTGACTTTGGCATGTATTGGAGCCTACTCAGTGTCTAAGGTCTGTTCATTCTCTGGGCTCTGCATATGTGGATAGGTAGAATGGGTTTTAAGTATTTGGGCTGTTTCTTTTTTTATAATACAATCCTAGCCTGCAGTTTATGTTATGGAGAACTTGATTATTGGCAAAAGTGTTTCATTGCCCTGTTCCCTTCCCTGCTTTCCACATTGTTGTCAGGGTCTTTCTTAAGGTTCGGCTCTGGTCATGCCACTTTCCTTCCTTAAAACGTTTCAGACTTCCTTAAAATTCATATTGAAACCAAACAGCTTTCTGAAAATATCACTTACTTGGTTGGGTACTCAGATGCCATAGTGCGTGTGGAGATGAGAGAACAGTCTGTGGAAGTCAGTTGGGTTGTCAGGCTTGGTGGCAAGTGCCCTTCCCTGCTGAACACTCTACCGCCCCGATCCAAACTGCAAAGCTTTCCACCACAGCCGCTTCTGTCCTCTCGGAGCAACGAGTACGAGTACCTGCCCTGCACTCATTTATCTGCTGTAGTGACGGCCATTTTCTTTCTCCTTACTAGCAGTGTAGCTACATGTGCAGCCATCACAGGTTCAGTACAGTTCCCGCACCGAGTTACCAACACCAGGCTTACAATGAACTTCAAAACGGTTACCACTCAGTGGGGAATAGAGGCTCAGGTTCCCCGCACGCTCATCAGCTTTGGTTGTGGTGGCATTCTGGTTTTGTCTTCTGTAGCCGCCTAGTGGATATGAAGTAGTATCTTGTTTTCTCTTCATTTTTCATGTTTTGTAATTCCTGCCTGCCATCAGTAAGAAATTTTCTTACTTTAAAAGAATCTAGGCCTGGAAAGATGACTTAACAGTTAAGAGCACTGTATCCTCTTCAGTTCCCAGCACCTACATGGCAGCTCACAACCAACTGTAACTCCAGTTCCGGGTGATCTCATGCCTTCCTCTGGCCTCTGCAGGCACAGGCAAAACACATTAAAAGTAGTACATTTTTTAAAACTAAAAAAATAAAAGAAAATGTAAATGCTGTCTGGGAAAATGTGATAGGTTTATTTCTAATTATGAAGTTGAGCTGCTTGTGAAACTTGCTGACTGGTACATTTTGACTTGTACTGATGCCCTGCATCCCACATCTGTGTTAAGAACTTGAACACAGGAAAATAAAGCCTGGTATAATACATACACCTGCAATCCCATCTTGGGAGACAAAGACAGGAGGGCTAGGAGTTTGAGGCCAGTGTCAGAAACCCTGTTTCCAGGAAAGGAAAGACAACAGAGAAACCTGGCCCTATTCTTCTATTCAGTCATATATTCTACCTTTTGACTCTGGGGGCAGGGATTCTAACATTCAGAAGTACTGATGATAGAAGAAAAACCATTAGTTTTGAGAATATAATGCTTTCCATTCTAGTAGTTATTAAATACTGATCCCAAATCAGCTGCATAAGATGCAGTGTTTTCTTTTTAAAGGCATGACCTCATGTAGCCCACACTGTTCTTAAACAGAGGATGACCTTGAACTTCTGACCCTGCCTCCCACCTACCCAGTGATGGGCTTGCAGACCTTTGTCTGTTTTGTTTTTATTTAATGCAGTACTACATCAGACCCAAGACTCGTGCGTACCAGTCAAGACTCTACCCACCCAGATGTATCTGCAGCACCAATATGTGATGTTAAATACTCAAACAAGCTTTAAAAAAAATCAGTGTAACCCATATAGTATTTGTGCTATAGTGGTGTCAGACACGGCAAGACGAGGTGGAGGAAGTGGTACTCTTGTGTACCGTTTAGTAGAAAATTCCCGTCTCCTCGTTGAACATACACACGCCAATATTTGTGCTTATTCTTCCACAAGGACATGGAAACTATAAGGAACACCTGTGTAATAATCAGATAAACACATTTTCCTAAGTAAACATTCTCAGAAAAGCTAGTTTTTCCTGAAATTAATTACATTTTAGAAAAATAACCTGGCTGGGTGGTGGTGGCCCACACCTTTAATCCCAGCATTTGGGAGGCAGAGGCAGGCGGATCTCTGAGTTCAAGGCCAGCCTAGTCTATAGATCGAGTTCCAGGACAGGCTTCAAAGCTACAGAGAAACCCTGTCTCGAAAAACCAAAATAAATAAAAAACAAATAAACAGATAAATAAATTAGTAGGAATGATACAGGAAAATTTCAAATATGTAGAAAGAAAAATATTTGAAAAGTATAAGCATAAATTACAATAAAAATTTTAACTTCTTTTATGTCTGTCACTCTAATACAAAAGATAAAACTCTCTTCTGCAGTTTTGGTTTTTCGAAACAGGATTTCTCTGCTTTGGAGCCTATCCTGGCACTCGCTCTGTAGACCAGGCTGGCCTCGAATTCACAGAGATCCACCTGCCTATTCTTCTGCAGTTTTTAAAGCCCATTTTTCCACATTCATTTGATAAGTAGATGATGGTAATCATTAGACTGGAGTATGTAAAATATCTGTGTTAATTTGGCTTTAATTATTGCTCATTTGTACTTATAATTATCCTAGTTGTCGCATAAAGTAATCAGTCTATGGGACTCCTGTGCTCTCTTCATAGCTCTGCATGTTTCTTGCATTTTGCCTTTATTTGGCTCACCTGGGGGTCTTGTTAAAAATCAAGCTTTGAAAGCTGATGAACTCACTCTGTAGACCAGGCTGTCCTCGAACTCACAGAGGTTCGCCTGCCTCTGCCTCCCGAGTGCTGGGATTAAAGGCGTGCGCCACCAACGCCCGGCTAAAAGGTAGCTTTTAGCACTTCGGTACCTTTCATTCTTGTGGCCTGCAAGTGGTGCACAGACATACATGTAGGCAAAACACCCACAATGTAAGAGTAACTATATAAATAGACGCATTTAAAGCAAATTTTATAGATTGTTACAGAGGACTGGTTGTTTTGCATGCTTTTAAACTATTGAAGTTTTTTTTCCTTATCTAAATGATACATACAGTGTATTAATGGATCTGGAGACATTCTGTATTTACACCAGAATTATTCCACACCACTCTGTATCTTGTCAAGGAGCCAGGATCCCTTTTGCACAACTTTTCCTAGTGGCAGGTGTTGGCATGATGTTGGGCACTTCAGCCAGGAAGACAGGAAAGAAGAACATTTCTTTTGCACCCCGCCCCTTTTTTCACCGTTTTAGTCAGTCTTACTGTTCTGGGAGGATCTCACTATTTAGACCAGGAATGCAATGCTGTGCATTCCAGCAAGAAAAGCATTTGTAAATTTGTGAAAGTCACTGGAAACTGTTTAAGCTTAGAAAACTGTGAAGCTGGAGTTGCAGCTTAATTCAGCAATCAATAAATTTGAACAAGTCTTGACAAATAGAGTCATAATTAGCTACCTTCGTCTCAGAGTGGCACGAGCTGTACACTGTCCTTATCTCCCTTTCTTTTACAGTCCATCAATATTATGGAGCTGACTTTACAGAAATACGGAAGTTATGAAAAATTTGAACAAGCTACTGGTGGTAGCTTGTTGTCTAAAACTCGAATCTGGAGTCATGTTAGGAAGTACATGGTGAAGGAAGGCTGCCTTGGAGAGGTATGGGCCATGGGTGAACCTGCCTTTTGTTCTTATTGTCATGTTTATATGTGTAGCTTACGGTATTTTGTGAGTTACTCAGGGAGAATTACTGAGAGAATTTGCGGTGCTGTTCTCTTGATAGACCAGTCTCATTCATAGTCTCAAAATCTTGGCGCTGACAAGGAGCAGGTCCCTTGCCCACACACACATAGCTGGTTCTTTCTAGTCCCTATGTGGGTTCTGGGGCCGGAACTTGAGTTACCAGCTTGCAGGGCAAACACCTCAGCCCACTGAGCCATCTTGTCACTCCTTCCCTTTTTAAAGTTCTGAAAGTTGAACTCAGGCACTCTTCCTTAAAAGCTATTCCCTCTTCTTCTTTGTGCTTGAGACAGGATCTCACTAAATTGCTCAGGGTGGCCTTGAATTCTCTCTGCAGCAAGTAAACCTTGTTCTTCTTGCCTTGGTTCCCTTAGTCCCCACTGTACTCTTCACTGTTACAACCCAGCTGTGTGAGAGCACAAGTTTTAGTTCTGTCTTCTTAGCATAGCCATCTACTTTCCTTTTTAAAGACAGGGTCGGTCTCTCTCTCTCTCTCTCTCTCTCTCTCTCTCTCTCTCTCTCTCTCTCTCTCTCTCTCTCTCTCTCTCCCTCCCTCTCTCTCTCCCTCCCTCTCTCTCCCTCCCTCCCTCCCTCCCCCTCTCTCTCTCTCCTCTCTCCCTCCCTCCCTCCCTCCCTCCCTCCCTCCCTCCCCCCCTCTCTCTCCCTCTCTCCCTCCCTCCTGGAACTGGCTATGTAGACCAGAATGGGCTTGAATTCACAGAGATCCACTGGCCTCAGCCTCCCAAGTGCTGGGATTAAAGATGTGCACCACCACCACCATCCTCATTCACTTTCTTTTCAATTCAATAAAGGTTCTTAAATTTTCAGAGGGTTAAAATTAGAAGGTTCAAATATCACTGGATGTACATTTCATCAACTTAGTTTAATTCATTTTAGTTAATGTATGCATCCATTATTTTTTTGTAAAAACTTTCCTTTCCCATTATAGTGTGTGTGTGTGCATATGTGTGCTCAAGTGCATGTGCATGTATATTATATAATTATAACTTTATATGTGTATGTATGTGGAAACATGCAAGTCACAGTGCGTATGGTGGTTGGGGACAAGGGCACAACTTTTGGGTGCTGATTCTCCTTCTAGCATGTTGGTTTTGAAAAGCTTGGGTTGTCAGCCTTTGTGTTGAGTCCTACCAGCCCTGTCTATGTGTTCTTTCTCTACCTAGATTGTAGTTCATCTCACTGAAGACCTGCTTTCCAGGGCATCCATGACTGTAGTTAATGGATGCCCAACTCTAACCATCAACATTTCTACTGCTCGAGAGCACTGGCTGGAGGGAATGCTGAGGCATGAGATAGGTAGGGACAGCCCTATCCACTTACTCATTTCACTATCAAGAATTACCCCTTGAAAAGGTATTCTTTCAGCATGTGTGTGTGTATGTTTCTTAGCAGAGAGAGAGGGGAGAGTTTGTGTGTTTCTCAGTTCCTCATCTGAAATTGAGGGGACAAATGCTTAGGACTAGACAAAGGAAAGAAAAAGTTACCTTTCTCTGGTTAAAGACTCAAAAGCTGATGTTATTGCCTCTCAGCCTGGTAAGGCTGCATGTCATGGTGGGTGCATGTGGCCACCAAATGTGGCCCATAAAGCCGAGAGGGCAGAGGAAAAGGTCTCACAGTCCCTTCTCCACACCGTCACTAGCCTTACACCTAGGTCCTACCACCTCCCAGAGCACCAAGTTGGGGACAAGCCTCTTTAGCACTTAGGACTTGGAGGGAGAATATTCCAGACCTAAATGCAAATTTTCTTTGGGGAAGGATCAAAACAGTGTCATTTCCTATCATTCATACCCTTTTTTCTCTGTAGGCACGCATTACTTTCGGGGTATTAACAATCTTCAGCAACCGTGGAACAGTTGGATTGGCCGCAAAAAACATGATCTAAAACCGAACAACCCTACAGAGGAAGGGCTGGCCAGCATTCATAGTGTTCTGTTTAGAAAAGACCCCTTCCTGTGGAGGGCTGCCCTCCTCTACTACACCGTCTATCAAGCCAGCCAGATGTCTTTTTGTGAACTCTTCAGAGATATTGGCAAGTTTGTCCAGGACCCTAACACACGATGGGATTATTGTGTAAGAGCCAAGAGAGGGTGGACTGATACTTCCCAGCCAGGTAAGTGTCCCTCAGTCACAGGGGTCTGACTTTCTGGCTCGTTGTTAGTGATTCCTCTGTAAACCGGAGGATAACTAGTTTGAGGCCAGTCAGCTACATTGAGACTTAAAAGGGCAAAGAGGGCCAGCACCATGGCTCCGCAGGTAAAAGGTGCTTGCTGCCAAACCTGAAGACCTGAGTTTGACCCCTGAGACTCACATGGCAGGAGAGAGGGGACTTCTGCAAGTTGCCTTCTGATCCCTCCACTTGAACTCTCTCAGCAAGCAGAAGCCAGCACTGCTGAGAAGTGGAAGAGACAAGGACCAGGGGACTCTGCTTAGCCTTGGAGGCCCCCAGCACCTGTGACTGCTGGCTCACTCCCCAGTGCTCAGTGCCCCAGGTCTTTGCCAACATTTGTGATTTTCATTTTTAAGGCAGCAATTGTTACAGCATTCTGGTGGATGTGAAAAGGCATTTTATTGTAGTCTCCATTTGTATTGACCTGATGACCATGGTGTTAAACATCTTCTAATTTGCTTAGTTGATCTTTGTGATTGTTTAAGCAACTATCTGCTTGTTTTTGGTTTTTTTTGCCAATTTTAAATTGAACTGCCTTTTTAAAATTGAATCATGAGAGATCTTTATGTGGCTACAAATCCATGAGATGCATGATTTTCAGTATTTTTGCCGTTCCGTAGACTGTCTTTCCAGTTTCTTATCATGTTGCCTTTGTTGTCAAAGCCACCCACTCATGCTGAGGACACAGAAGGCAAATGGTGGTCATGCCAAGCCTTTGGTCTGAGGTTTTTTGATGGACAGGGGGACAGCTGTGTAGGCTGGTACATATGCATGTGTGTGTACATACATGTGAATACCAGAGGTCAGCTTCCAGTTATCCTTGTCAAAGTGCATATGCCTTTGTAGTGTTGTATACTTGGAGGAATTTTTATTAACTCGTGTGAGTGTGTGTGTGTGTGTGTGTGTGTGTGTGTGTGTGTGTGTGATGTGTTTGAAATGTGGGTGCACAGGAGCCATGGCATGCATGTGGAGATTACAGGACAACTTTTGAGAGTCTCTTTTGTACTCCCACCTTCCTGAGACAACACGTTTCTGCCATTTTACTTGCTCTATGCTGGCTGGCTCCCAAGCTTCTCAGGAGACTGATATCACAGATGCTACCATTTTATGCAGCTTTTTCACATGGTTTCAGGGATGGAGATCAGGTAATCAGGCTTGCATGGTGAGCCACTGTGAGCTCACTAACTGCTTCCAGTCTTTTCCCTCCGAGACAAAGCAACCCTAGCTGGTCTAGAACTCCATTTGTAAACCTCGTTGGTCTTGAACTCCCACTTGCTGGGTTCAAGCCATGTGCCTCTGTGCCCTACCACCATGGCCACTTACCCCCTTTTAAAAATAATTGAGAGGGGGTGTGGACTCAGTGTGTACCAAGAATGCCTTAACTCCTGATTCCCTGCCTTCACTTTCACACCTAGGATTCCACGCGACTGTGCTGCCCACCCAGCTTTGCTTTTCTGTCTTGTATTTTGAGACAGAGTCTCTGACCTGGACTTAGGACTGTGGGTTCCACTGGATTGGCTGGCCAGTGAGCTCCAGAGACCCACCTGTCTCCTGACCTCACAGTACTGGGATTATACACATGCACAGCTCACCAGAGTTTTATGTGGTGTAGGGATCACACAGGCTCATGCTTCCAACGCAAGCCCTTTCCTGACTAGGCCTAATCTTAATTTTAAATTTGTATGTGTATGGTGTTTTGCCCGAATATATTCTATGCATTCCTAGTGTCCATGAAGTGCAGAAGGTTGTGGTAGACCCCTGAACTAGAGTTAGAGATGGCTGTGAGCCTCCATATGGAAGATGAGAATCAAATTCAGGTTTTCTGCAAGAGCAGCAACTCCACCCCTAAAAGCTTTTTAAAAACAGATATTCTGAAATTTATATAAAACAAGGACAAGTTTAACATGCCAAACCCTCATTAATATTTAGTATGCATTGACATTTTCCTACTGAATCATCTGCTCCTCTGTGGTAAATCTGATTCCAATATCATGTCATGGATATCTCAAATATTGTTCCTAATCACCATGCTACTACATACCTAATAAAATTAGCAATAATTCCTTAATATGTGGCAATATAGAGAATACTTACATATTGTTTTTTTTTTTTTTTTTTGGTTTTTACGAGACAGGGTTTCTCTGTATTGTTTTGGAGGCTGTCGGTCCAGCCCGGCCTCGAACTCATAGAGATCCGCCTGCCTCTGCCTCCCGAGTGCTGGGATTAAAGGCGTGCGTGCGCCACCACCGCCCGGCTACTTACATATTGTTTTTTTTATGTTTATTTTTGTTATTTTTATTATGTTATTTTTGTTGTATTATAATGCTGTATAAGTAGACAGTGAACTGGGCTGTTCAGGGAATAACAAGGAAAAGCATCTGCACACCTATAATACAGTTAGAACCCAGAAATTTAAGTCAATACAGAGGGCCAGTGGTGTAGTTCACAACTGACTAACTTTAATTTATGCTTTAAATTATGAGAAAAACACTCCTTGGTTTCTGAACCGTCACTGTGAGGAAACTTTCCGGTTCTCCAAAGTCCGATTCGGCACTTTCTGCAAATTAGGAGACAGAGTTGCTTGAACACAGGGATTTTTGTTATAAGACATCTTTGCACAGGGCGGTGGTGGTGTGTGCCTTCCTTTAGTCCCAGCACTCAGGAGGCAGAGGCAGGCAATCTCTGGGAGCTGAAGGTCAGCCTGGTCTACAAGAGCTAGTTCCAAGACAGCCTCCAAAGCCACAGAAACCATGTCTCTAACAACAACAAAAAAAGATATCTTTTTGTCCAAATTGTTCTCTGGACCCCGTGGAACAAGGCAGCATTGAGCAAGTCCAATGCAGGGGATGGATGTTCGGTTCCAAAACCTTGACATTGGTCTAAGGTGGCAAATTTGGAGGTAGAATTTTACGTTTCCTTGAAGAGCGTTTGTCTTTAGTAAAATTCCTCATCGTTCTCTTATTTCTTCTGACACATTCTGGATAGAGCATGTTATCTTCCACTCCTGGATTTGGGAAAACACAGGCTGGTAGCAAAAAGAGGGGGATCATTCTTTGGGGACTGTCTGGAACCCAGGTATGACCAATGTTCATCTGCAGACAAACCCAACCTGGTTCATCTGCAGGGAGCAGTCTGCCATGGACAACACACCATCTGAACCCGGGGGCTGGTAGCAGAAAGGTCTTTCCATTGGAGGGAAGAGGCTGCTGATTCGCAGACATAGGCAGACCTGCTCTCGTTACAATTCTTCCCCAGGAGGCAAAGGCAGACTCCCTTTCTGAGGTTAAAACCTCCACAATGGCATTCTCCTCCTCCTCTCTCTCTCTCTTCAGGTTTTGAGGCATAGGTTCTTTTTTGGCCTTCTTGGATTTTGGCTTCATTTTAGCCTCAAGGGGTGTTTGTGGAATATGACATTTTTGTTCTGAAAACGCATTCTTCTGAAGTCTCTCGTAGACTTCAACCTTCTTGCCATAGGTACTTAAATTATGCAATCGACACCATTCCCGAAGAGTGTTCCGGGACACCTCAGTGATAGGAGGAAGCATATCGGGCAGGGATGGGTAGGGCTTTAGCTCCGATGCTGAGGGTTTGACATCCTCAGAAGGTACCATAGGGGGAATTGGTGGCCTGTGGACTATGGTTGACGAAACCGATTCTGTTGGTACTTGTGCTGGTACTTGTGGGGTGATCGCTTCTTCCTCAGTAAACGGGACCAGCGTTAAAATGATCTCTTCTTCATCAAATTCTTCTTTAAAAGGCTTCTCTTGGGCGTCCCAGCTGGAAAGTCACATATTGTTTTTTTTAAAAGCTGAAGCAATCTTTGAAATTTTCCTCATGTTGATTGTGGCTTGTTTGTTTGTTGTTTGAGATAGGATCTCACGGTGTAGGCTAGGCTGGCTGGCCCACATTTTGTGGTCTCCTGAGTGCTGGGGTTACATTGCAAGCACCATATTCCAAGGGTTTGTGTGAGAATCAGTAGAAAGATTTTCTTATAAGGAGGCTCCTTTCAGAAGTTCCTGCTTCTAGTCCTGTATAGACTTGGGTGGGTGTTTGTTTGTTTAAGGTACAGGGGCTCTCTGTTATGTAGCCCTGGTTATCCTGGAACTCACTTGTAGACCAGGCTGTCCTCACACACACAGATTCATCTGCCTCTTTCTCTTGAATGCTGGAATTAAGGGTGTGTACTATCATGCCAGGCCTAAACTTATACATTCTTTAAATTCTTGGTCTCATCCCTGTTCTCGTGGGAGAAACAATATCAAAATAACCTATCGTGTATTTACTTCAGGTTATTTTTTTGAGTTGAGCTCACTGTGAGACTTGGGCTAGCCTTGAACTTATGTGGCTAGGGTTGTTGTCAACTTTTAGATCATCTTGCTTCTGCCTCCAGAGGATTATAGGTATCGCGCACGCGCATATGCGTGTGCACGCATATGTGTGTGTGTGTGTGTGTGTGTGTATTTGTTGGCTGGTTGAGTTTTTTGTTTTATGTTTTCCTGAGACAAGGATTTTGTAGTCCAGGTTGGCTTGAGATTTGCTGCGTACTTGTGATCCTCTACCTCTAGAATTAGAGATGTGCACCACTACACCAAGTTTGTGCAGTGCTTAGAATCCAAGCCAGGACTCCTTGCATGTACTGTACCCACTGAGCTACAAACCCATGATGTTTTTTGTTTGTTTTTTTTAGATTAAGTCTTACAATGTAAACCTGGGTGACTTGGAACTCCCAGTGTAGATCAATCTGGGCTTTGCAGTTTTTGAACCATTAGGCCACAGTTTTAATGGTGAAGTAGCACAAGCCTGTAATTGCACTCTTCGAGGGCTGAGATGGGAAATGGATATGCAGCCTGGGCTACACAGCAGGAGCTAGCTTCGTTGACAGCTTTTTAGATGTGGGTTTCTAGAATTGAGAGGCAAGCTCTGTACAGACTGAGACATTTCCTGAGCCTGAAACCCAGTCTCAAAAAACAAGGCAAAACAAAAGCAACACTAACCAACCAAAATAGTACCATATTATTTCACCCAGGATGATCAAAATGTCAAGAATCTTTTGGCTCAGTTTCCCACATAGCTGCAATCACAGGTGTGCTCCATAGTTTTCAGGAACATAATCGCTATAAAGGAGTTAGGGCAGGACTATTGCTGTTTAGCACAGAACAAACAGAAAAAACCAGGACATTCAATACCCCACAGAAGCAGGTGGATGTAAGTTCAAGGCTAGACTGGTCTACACAATGAGAGCCAAGACAGCTAAAGCTACCTAATTAGTGAAATCCTGTTTCAAAAAATAAAACTATAGTGTTTTAAATACAGAGATGTTCCTACCATAAAGAGAATGGTTAGTTGCTGGTCGTTGGTGGCGCACGCCTTTAATCCCAGCACTTGGCAGGCAGGCAGATCTCTGTGAGTTCAAGGTCAGCCTGGTTTACAGAGCGAGTTCCAGGACAGCCTCCAAAGCCTCAGAGAAACCCTGTTCAAAAAACCGAGAGGGGGCGGGGAGAGGGGAGGGAGGGAGGGGGAGGGGATGGGGGAGAATGGTTAGCATCTACTTTTGTGTTTCTTTAAACATTAAAAAGGAAACACTGTTCTTGTGAGTTCGAGGCCAGGCTGGACTGACAGCCTCCAAAACAATACAGAGAAACCCTGTCTCATAAAACAAAAACAAACAAACAAACAAAAAAGTAAACACTGGGCCTGGAAAGTTGACTCAGTAATTAAATGTATATTGATTGTGCAGAGGACCTGAGTCCAGTTCCCACTACCCACTCTGGGAAGCTCACAGCTTCAGCCCAAGGAGATCTAATGCGTCCGGCCTCCTCAGATGCCCCCCCACACACACTCACCATTAAAAATAAAATATCCTTTTAAGGGAGCTGGGGAGATGGCTCAGAGGTTGAGAGCATTGACTCCTCTTCCAGAGGTCATGAGTTCAGTTCCCAGCAACCAAGGTGGCTCACAACCATCTGTGATGAGTCTGATGTCCTCCTATGACATACAGGCATATGTGCAGGCACTATATATATATATATATAGTGTGTGTGTGTGTAAATAAATCTAAAAAAGGGAAAATATCCTTTTAGAAAGAAAGTAAGTATTCTTCTGGTTCTTCCAGGGTGTTTCAGTAAAGACCAAGTGTACTTGGATGGAATCCTTCAAATCCTTCGATTCAGAGAGTCCATAGACTTTCATCTGCTGACTGCCCTGGGCAAGGTGAGTAAACAGTGGCTCAGACTCTCCCAACAACTCCTGTGTAGACCAGGCCAGCCTGGAACTCAGAGTCTGCCCACTTCTTCCCCCCAAGTGCTGGTATTAAAGGTGTGTGATGGTGTTCCCTGATTCGTGTCTGTTTAATGACTCAATGAGTTTCTGTATAGCTGCTTATGGGAGTGCGGTAAGAGGTTGATTATAGGCACATGGGTAATTCACCAGTGGCAAGACTGCTGAACAAAAGGTCTCACTTTTGCCATCAGTCATTACCTGCTTACAAATCCTCATGAGCCCTCCCCGTCCATGTCAGATTGTTTGTAGGTCATCCCAGCTGCTGTGAATTTAGTGCCGAAGTCAGCATTCTACACCACTAGTTATTACATTCTTTCTGACCCTCTGTGATGCCCCGAGTCTGGGAGAGAGTGATGTAGATGGCTCATTTATGGCTGCTTATTCAAATGTCACTTAGTGCTTGACACTTTGACATTAACTACTGCCCACAGCAAAAGGAAGCTCCTCTGGCCAAAGCTGAGAGCAGCATTCATCTGTGGGCATGCGCATGGTTATTTAGAAGGCAATTTGGTAGGAACACCACCTCATCTACCAAACAGCAGCCCCAGCTTCCCAGCAAGGGTTATGACGTCAACCACAGGCTGCTGGGCAGGTTTACAGTTCCTTTACACAAACAAACTCTTTCCTATGGAGAGAGCCCCAATTCTGACCAAGAAGCAGTTGGCTATCCCTGTAAGACTTGCCGCAGAGCCCACAGCTGAGTTAGACTGGGCGACAAGTCTACCCCAGCAGCCTGCAGCTCACCTCTGCCTCTGGAGAGCTGGAGAGCAGGGAGACTAAGTATAACACCTCCAGCATGATGGACAGAGTCAGGGAGCCGGTCTACAAGAGAGCTCCTTCAGATTTCTTCATGCTAGCTGCATTTTGATTCCCTTATTTAGATTTTAGATTTTTTTTAAAGCAGAGTTTCTCTGTGTAGACCAGGCTAATATCCAACTCATAGAAATCTGAGCGCTTCTGCCTCCTAAGTGCTGGGACTAAAGGCGTGTACCATCTCTTAAGTCAAGAGATTTATTTCAGTCTAGTCTCTCCTACCTGAGAATGTAGCTCAGTGGTAGAGTACTTGCCTAGCATGCTCAAGGCCGAAGGTTTGATCCTCAGTATCACCACCAACAGAAGGTAATGTCAGTCTGAACACACAGGAAGCTTGCCTGCCTGACTTTCATACAAACTGATTTATTTCCAAGATAAGCGTGTGAGGTCAAATATTGGCTTTCTCTTTTCTTTTATGGTTAACAATGAGAGGTCAAAAATAATATTTAATGTAGTAAGGTAACCAACCACTTTTGTCTGTTTTTATATTTTGGCAGCTAGTAATTTGACAATCCATGCTTTTGTTTTTGTTTTGTTTGTTTCGATATAGGATCTCATCATGTAGCCAAGGCTGGCCTCAAATTCATAGAGATCCATCTGTTTCTGCCTCCAAGTTCCCAAATGCTGGATTAAAGATGTGAGCCATGGGCTGAAGAGATGGCTCAGAGGTTAAAAGCATTGACTGCTTTTCCAGAGGTCCTGAGTTCAATTTGTCAGCAACCACATGGTGACTCACAACCATCTGTAAAATGAGATCTGGTGCCCTCTTCTGGCATTCAGGCAGACATATAGACAGAACACTATATGCATAATAAATAAATCTTAAGAAATAAAAAGATATGAGCCAGGTCTCATATCCACATATTTAAGGTCCAAGAGAAAAATTCAATTCCAAAATGTAACTTGTAGTTGTAAAAAGAATTCCATTTTTCAGGTATCTTATGAAGATGTGGATCGTTTGAAAGGATTAGCGGTTACTGAAAACATGAGAGTCCCCCACTTCCTGCAGGACCACAGCCGGTACATGGAGCATTTAGAGAAGATCATGGAGGTCAATGAGCTGACTGATGCAGAGCTGAAAGGCCTCATCTAAGCAGCGTCGGCGCCTCCACGGCTGTGAGCCGCTCATCTAAGCAGTTTCAGTGCCTCCCCGGCTGCGGGCCGCTCAGGCACCTCCCACCTATACCATTAGAGAAGCGGTCTGGCTGAGCTTAGTTTTCTGAAGACCAGCCCTCAGTTTCCGTATCCAGCTGAAATTTAGGTTCTATGTAGACCTGAAACTATTTTCCTAAAATGTTTCCATAGACTGCAGTGGAAGCGGCTTCTGTCTTCATCCAAATCTCCGCAGAGACAAATGAAGATCACTGCTGACGGAGACCCCAGGATGAATTGCCAACTTGAGCACCGAGGCCAGCTCGGGGCTGGAGGTGGCCAAATTCCAAGCTGTACTATATAAACTCTAGGGTTCTATTTCCTCTGCTAAACAGTGGTGATTGCTCTTCTAAATTCTCATTTTGTAACATGTCAAAAGGCTAGCGAAATCTAAGAGTTCTTATTTTTCTTATGTAAAGTAATGTTAAAAGGAGAATAAAAGAAATTTTAAAACTTTTCATTAAGTTCTTTATTCTATGCATTTTCATTTTACCTTCTCAGCTTATGTGTGTGTGTGTGTGTGAGAGAGAGAGAGAGAGAGAGAGAGAGAGAGAGAGAGAGAGAGAGAGAGAGAGAGAGAGATGCTAAGGATCAGACATGGTTATAATCTGTCACTGATCTATACCCCCACCCCATTTATTGAGTTCACTGAAGAGGACCACAGGCTGGCAGTACCCACAGCACAGGGCCTGTCCAGTCACCCCTGAACTATGACAGCTCTCTGCAGTAGGCAGCCTTGAAAATGAGGTGCTGCTTTCTGCCTCTTATTTTACTACTTCATCCGTTCGTTCATTCATTCATTGACTCAATCAGTTGGGAAAAGTGAGGCCACTCACCTTGTTTGGAATGTGTCATGAGGAGGGGACATACAGACTGACCCAGAATAAACCTGGCCATGGTCTGAAAAATGAAATTTCAGGGCCTTTCCCTCCAATAAACAATTTTTGGATGATTCTGATACAGCTTGAATTTAGGAGAATTCCATGTACATTGCAGCATGTACACCTGGGCTCATAATTGACTTTTCCTACAACTTAACAACCGGGAAGATTGCTGCTGTAACCATTCCAGGATCACTGTGGTGATGATTTCTACACAAAACTCATCACTATCTCAGTGCAGACAAAAATACGCTGCCTAGGAGACAAATACTGCAAAGCCTGGCCAGCTGGCAAGGCTGGATTTATACGATGTTTCTCCTTCACATACCCGGAAGGGTTTGCTTCAGATAATAATCACAAGCAAATCCAGGATCTCCTCTAAATACAACACACACTTCTTGCCTTTGGCAGTAGAGCAAGGCCCTTGGGAGCTTGAAAAAGCTACCTCTTCACCCCACACCATAATAATGACATGAGTCTGTACATGTTTGCCAGGCAGGGAAGAACTTAGGAGACATGAAACACTGCTCCTGATCCCTCAGGCACGCCTCTCCTTGCAGCAGAGGGCTGGGCTTTGAGCCCTGTCTCTCATTCTCTCACGAATCTTAAACTCATCCAAGTGACTGCAAGCAGTCTTACGAAAGAAAGAATGGCCTTGGTTGTGTCCTGTGATCTACACCCAGATGCTTATACATTCAACGCCTGCCGGCAGTAACATGACCGATTTTTTTTTTTTCAAGACAGGGTTTCTCTGTGGCTTTGGAGGCTGTCCTGGAACTCTCTCTGTAGACCAGGCTGGCCTCAAACTCACAGAGATCCGCCTGTGTCTGCCTCCCGAGTGCCGGGATTAAAGGCGTGCTCCACCAACGCCCGGCTTAACATGACCTATCTTACCTCGTGGTTAAACTATAAAGGAGAATCTCAGCAGCCTTCATTTCTAGTTGTAGCGTTATCTGCAGTGGTTCTGGAGTGAGTGGTCTTTCTGTCTGTGTGGTTTAGAAAGGGAACTGCTTTCTTGCCTTGCTGCTTTGATGCAAAGATAAAAGAATAAAATACAAAGCATTCCAAAGAGCAAACTTACATTAAATTACATTGACTGTCCTAAAATATCTTCAAAAGTTAGGGGCAACTAAAAGTGGTCTCAGAACAGCAGAAGGGTCTGAAAACCTTGGAGAGGCCAGGAACACATAGAGAGACCCTATCTCAAAACAACAAAATAAGTTGAAGCTGATATTTATTCTCTTTCCCATATTGAATGTAAGATCAGTTTTGTTTCCCAAAATAAATTTTAAAGGTTTTTCGAGACAGGGCTTCTTTGTATAGCCCAGGCTGTCCCGAAACTTACTCTTGACCAGGCTGACCTTGAACTCACAGAGATCTTCTTGCCTCTACCTCCCAAGTACTAGGATTAAAGGTGTGTACCACCATGCCCAGCTTGCCTAAAATAAATTTTAAATAAATAGAAAAAACTTGCCCCACACGCTGCGCAGCCTGTGTCCGAGAATGTGTGGAGGGTGTCGGGAATTGACAACACCGAAGGCTCCTCAAGAAGGCTCTCCTTTATTCCTACTCTGGCTGGTTATTATATACCCTGACACCAGAGGTGGAGGTGGGTGGGTCTGAAGAGGCGGTTAGTCTTCGGTTCCCGTGGGCATGCCCTTTTCAGGAACTTACTGCCCCGGGCATTGTATTGTTTTTAGTAAACATTGTCTTACAGCTGCCTGGTCCCAGGCTGATGGGGAAGTGGGTCTCTGCTCAAGGTCTGTTGTCCCCACAAAAATTTGCAAGGTACTTAACTTGAATATACATGAGTTTTAATTGTAATAGGTATTTACCATAGGCTGTTGATTAGGAGTCCATAAATTTCTCAATTATAATTCACTTTTAAATTATTGTGTGTACATGCACTTATGTGTATGCACTTGTGTGATGGTCAGAAGACATCTTTGCAGAGTCTGTTCTCTCCTTTCACTATTGGGATCAAGCTCAGGTCACCGAGTTTGCAGAGGCAAGTGATTTCACCCACAGAACGTCTCACTGCCCTTGCCTGTTAATTCCAACATAAACTGGGCCAAACGCAAATATCGATGAAGTGTTAAGCTTTAATGCCAGATGGACTCAAAGTAAATTTAATGTTAGGGAACGGAAAGAAAGATGGTTCATCATAAGGCGCTTACCATGAAATCAAATCATGAGGGCCTGAATATGATTCCTAGAACTCATATGACATGAATCTGAAATCTGTTTGGGAAGCAGAGATGGGGATCTCAGGCCTTGCTGGGGCCATTCTAGCTGAATTGGAGAGAGACCCTGTCTGAAAAAAGTAGCCGGAAAGAGAATGGGGGAGACCCAGCATTGACTCCCACCTCCCCAGAAATGCACGACAAAGGTACACTGCACAGAGAAATAATGTCAACAAATATGGATCCACGGTTTTTCTTTACATGTACAGGATTTGTTTGTATATTTTTGAGATGGTTTCAGTATTTTTGAGATTGGGTAGTTGTGGCAGGTCTGGAACTTGCTATATAGATCAATGTGGTCTTTAATTCATAGAGATCTGCCTGCCTTTGCCTCCCAAGTGCAGGCTGGGATTAATGACATATCAGAAGTCAGCATCCCACCACACTCTTCATCTTCCAGTTTTTTCCACCTCCTCATCTATGTCGTTCCCTGAGCTTTGGTGGTGCTAGTGCTGGTGGTACTGGTGGTGCTGGGTGGTGGTTAGTGTTGGTGTTGTTGTTGTTAGTGTGGTGGTGGTGTGGTTGGTGGTTGATGTTGGTGGTGTGGTTGGTGGTTGGTGTTGGTGGTATTGTGGTGGTAGTGGTTGTTGTTGTGGTGGTGGTTGTTGGCAGTGGTTGGTTGTGTGGAGGTTGGCGGTGGTGATGATAATATAGATGTTCTGTATGTGACTTGAGCATATGAGACCCAAAAGCCCACCCACAGTGACATACTTCCTCTAACAAGGCCACAGCTATTCCAATAAAGCCACACCTCCTAATAGTGTCACTCCCTATGAGATTATGGGGACCAATTACATTCAAACTACCACAGAGAGAGATAGAGACAGAGAACAAAAGATGAGCATTAAGTAGGGATCAAGAAGAAAGCACAGGTACCTTCACACACAAAGGGTAATATCTAGTCTTTGAACTCAAAAACCTTATTAGGCCAGTTGTGATGCTATATGCCTGTAGACTTAGTTAACACACAGGAGATAGAGGCAGGGAATACTGAGTTTCAGGCTAGCTTGGGCTATAGAGCAAGCAATACCTTATCTAAACAACAAACTTGCATCCATCTGCTTTGTTAGCTAGCCGTGCTTTTTCTTCACTGTAATTCCAACAGCTAGAGGGGTGATGCCTTGGTAGCTGATGCCAGGGTGTGAAAAGCCAGCGGTTGACAGCTCACTGTGGGAGAATCACTGAGGAAGGGTGTGGGGCTGTCCTGATACGACACATGTTAAAGCTGGGGGTGTTTTGGGTGGGAAGGGATTGGCTGTTTTGGGTGTTTTTGTTTGTTGGGACAGAATGTCATGCAGATCATGTTGGTCCTGAATTGTGTGGCCGAGGGTGGCCTTGAATTTTTGGCAGTCTCCTAAGTGCACCATCAGGCCTGAGTCTAAAGGAGAGATCTGAACAGCAGCAAGTGTAATGGCTCAGGGTGTTAAATACCTCACTTGTGTCAGCCGGACACTTGGCTCCAACTCCTGTCATTTGAAAGCACTCCTGTGATAGAATATTCACTAGTTGTTAGTTATATATCTTCAAGAAAAGAAAGTAGCCTAGGTCCCATAGGGGAAAGACCCTGCAGAGTCCAGGAACATAGCAACACCTTCTTGCTCTCTCAATAGTGAATCTATTTGAGTGCTCTGGTCACTTACTACACATAAACAGGCAAGTACTTACTTAGCATGTCAAGGCCCTGGCCTCAGTCTCCACAGCATCTGTGAGTGTACTCATGCATGTGTATATACAGGCATGCAGAGGAGGGGTGAACTGGGAGGCAGTCTGAACACCAGTCTGATTCAGCAGATGGCTCAGCTGGTAAAGTTGTCCTGACTACACCATCCAGGTACCCACCTGGGACCCACATGGTGGGAGGCATGGGGCAATTGAGACAATTTCTGCAAGCTGTCCTCTGGCTTCCCTTACACAGCATGGCATATTCTCGTTCTCTCTCCCCCTCTTCCTCCCTCCCTCCCTCCCTCCCTCCCCCCCTCTCAATACAACCCCCCCAAACCTTTGTTGGTGAGTTTCTGAGCACCCCTCCACATATGTCCCCTAGAGGAACAACTTGCTCTTTTCTCACCTAGTGTTTTGTCTGTCTGGAGACCCATAGACGTTTAGCCTTGCTGGTTGGTCCTGAAACCTAACCTATACTCCAAAGAATAGCTTATTGGGAAGGTTTATTTATTTATTTTTTCTTTTTTGGGGGGGGGTGTTTCGAGACAGTTTCTCTGTGGCTTTGGAGGCTGTCCTGGAACTAGCTCTTGTAGACCAGGCTGGCCTCGAACTCATAGAGATCAGCCTGCCTCTGCCTCCCAAGTGCTGGGATTAAAGGCGTGCGCCACCAACGC